GCACGCCTTTAATCCCAGCACTCAGGAGGCAGAGCCAGGCGGATCTCTGTGAGTTCGAGGCCAGCCTGGGCTACCAAGTGAGCTCCAGGAAAGGCCCAAACTACACAGAGAAACCCTGTCTCGAAAAAACAAAAAAAAAAAAAAAAAACATAAATGAGAGAGAGAGAGAGAGAGAGAGAGAGAGAGAGAGAGAGAGAGAGAGAGAGAAATGTGGAAGGGGACATGAGAAGATTTGAGGAGAAAGGATAGTTGGATATGATGAGAATACATCATACTCAAATATAAAGTTGTTTTAAACTTTAAAACCATAACTGATGCTGTTAACTAAAACTTGAGAAATGCCTGTGAATAATGAACATACAAATGAAAAGAGTTTTCTCATTAAAAAAAAAAAAAAAAAAAAAAAAAAACCACATACAGCAGTTCTGTCATCCTCTACAGAGCTTCCAGAAACGTAGGAATGGAGCACCATATCAACTCACATGAGCAAACAGATGTTTAGGGAGGACATCAATAACATCTGCCTGTCTTGAACACGCAACAGAAAGCTACTCACTTTATAAGGTGCCAAAACAGTAAGGGCCAACCCAGGACAGCATGTGCCATAGATGATAGTCCAGCTGTGACTGTGGAAGTCAGTGTGTGTGAGATCAGCTGTGGGGCTTCTTCCAGCACACACTCTGGGCCCGTCCCCAGCATTGCCAGTTGAGAGTGTTGAGCCACGGTCTGAAACTTTGCCTTTCTAAGCTGTCCTCAGGTTATACAAACTGTCACCACACCCCCAGACTTCATGATAAGATCACTGCAGGAGATGGCACAGCATGGAATGCCACAAGACAGAAGGAACTGGAACTCTGAGTTTCTTTCAAAACATGGGACTTTTGGCAGGTCAGTTAAGCTTTACCTCTAGGTTTTAATTTGTAGGAATGGGGGAAAGGCTGTGCTATTCTTTAGAGTTGCTGTGATGCTTAGAAAGCCACATAAACATCACAGTTCTTAGCCAATTGTAAACGTTGGCTCCTTCTCAGCTATTTGTCAGTGGATATGTTGAAGATAAAACATTATTTTTGTACTAGCTTCATCCAGCCTAATGTGTGCTTCCTTAGAAGAAAGGAAAAAAGATAGAGACAGAAAGAGTAAATGCAAGGAGGGAGGGAAGAAGAGAGCAAGAGCATTTACTTATTTGTTCAATTATTTTATTGTACATGCAATTATCAAACCATTCATAAATAACACATAAAGCAGTCATTCACCAAATGAGAGGATAGCATGATTTCCTATGACTGAGAACATTTTCCAGAAGGCAAAAGCTATATTTTGTCACAAGCCTGTACCTACACCAGACACAAAAGACACTGCAATTATTAAATAAGAGCTTAATAATCCATGAAATGACATTGAAAAGAGATTTGTTTAAAAAGAAAGGGAAGTGAGATCATTGGAATGGACCATTTTGGAGCAGGAAGTAAGACAGAACACAGACAGGAAATAGGAAAAGGGTCATATGGGCACAAGATGACTGCTGCCACTTTGAGTGTCGGAGACCTAGTAAAGCTTCAGTGACCACTACACTGACTTAGAATGAGCTGTGGTGGTTTGAATGAGAAATGCCCCCCATAGGCTCAGTCACCTCAACATTTGGTCACTAGCTGGTGGTGCTGTTTGGGAAGGCTATGGAAACTTTAGGAGGCACAGTTTTGCTGCAGGAAGTATAACACTGGGGATGGGCTTTGAGGGTTTAGACCACCAGTTCCTTCTCTGTGTCCTGCTGTGGATGAAAATGTGATCTCTCGCCTGTCTGTCCCTGATTCCACACCTCCCCCGTTAGGGACTACCCCTTTGGAACTGCAAGCCCAAATAAACTCTTTCTTCTATAAGAGTCTTTGGTCATGGCATTTGATCACACCAAAAATATCACAGGTCATCTAAAAGAATTTAGAAATGAATATTCAGAGAAATGTTTCAGAAAAAGGCAAAGACTGCTTAAGAAGCAAGTGAAAATATCTGGCATTGCCTGGGGCATCCAAAGACAAGAGCCTAAGTCCATCTGGAGGTTCTATTAATATAGTACTTTCTGCTCAAGGAAATATCACAAACTGAACTTTTGGCCCACTACCGTGTGCCCCCATGTTTCCCCAACTAAGTTTGATGTTTCATCTCACCCATTTCTTCTCCTAGTCAAAAACTACTGCTTTACAACTATATGAAAACATACACTAATATGCAATAACTATCCCTGTGCTAACCTTAGCTCATTTAATGCAAGTGCCCCTTCTCATGAAATCCTTACACCCTTTAAGACCAAATCAAAATCCATCTTCCCTGTTCTCTCAAAGCAAAATCATTTTCTCCCCACCCCATACTCATTTCATTAGTATACAACATTCTACCTCATGGTAAGGGACATGATGCCTACCACTCCCATGTGACTTACAGTGTTCAACCAACATTCTCATCACAAGACATGTCCATGGTGCCCACTCTGAACTTAGCACTTCCATCAAGTTAGACTTTCAACTGCAAGCATCTTGGGATAAGCCTTAGTAGTCTTCTTTGATGTCTGCATTGTGCCAGCCTATGAAGAGGAAAAAGAAAAACTGCAATAATGCCTCTTGGAAAAGACCTTAACCAATTATGGTCATGGATTTCACAGAATAATATTCCCAACTCCCTCCTAACTGGGGTAAAACAGTTCTGACATTTAGTTGCTGCATGAACCCTAAATGGTCTCACAATAAAAACCCAGAGCCAGATATTTGGGTACATGATGAAAGATCCAAGGAAAGAAGCCACAGCCACTTCTCACCTCACCAACTCCTCAGCCAATCCCGTCCCCACAAATCCTCAGACTGAATGCCTCTGAGTCCTCAGCAGAAAGGGTCTCTAGTTCCTGTCTCCTAACACCTTATATGCCTTTCTCCACCCAGCCATTTCACTTCCTATCTCAGCCTTCCTAGTGCTGGGATTAAAGGTGTTTGCCACTACTATCTGGCCTCTATTTCTTTTAGACTGGAGTAATCTCCTGTAGTCCAGGGTGGCTTTGAACTCACAGAGATCCAGACAGATCTCTGCCTCCGGAGTGCTAGGATTAAAGGTGTGTGCTAACATTGCCTGACCTCTATGTTTAATCTAATGGCTGCCTCTATCCTCTGATCTTCAGGCAGATTTTATTAGAGAACAACAAAATATCATCATGTTTAGTTCTACCCAATCTCAAAGAGCTCGCAGAGTAGGTAAGAGACCCAATTGTTCATTGGAACGTCCTGTATTGGCTCCTTTTCCATATCATTCTTGCTTCCCTACCTCTTTGTTAGTATTTCCTGGGATCAGTTTTTCAAACAAATAGCTACTCTAGAGTCCTTGTCTTCAAGTCCACCTCAGTGAACCTCACTAACCTAAAGCAAGGTTGGCATAGAGGAGCTCTTTCCTTCAGGCATGACACAACCATCAGCCATCATGACACGGATTCTCTGTGATGACCTATAGAAGCCCGTGGCCCAGCCCATAGTCATGGAAGTGGGAGGTTCCTTTAGGGACGCACACTATAGGTCTGTGGCAACAGTAGTACAGCTGTTAACATTTCCCCACAGACAAGGAAAGCCACCTGCCCTGCCCTGAGATTCCTACCACCACTCTTTCCTCCCCCATCTGCCTGTGACCTTGGGAGTAGGGGTGCTAGACTTTAGAGGAAATAGGATACCTGGGGGAGGGGATCCAGAAGTGCAGCTATCAGGAGTTGTCACCCATGTTGGATGGGAGTTCCTCAGTGATGCCTTTGAGTTGCTGTTGAGTCACCTGCGTTCCTGTAATTCATCCATGACTTTGTAAATAGCTCCAGTAAACTTACTGATTCACCAGGATCAACCTAGACCAATTCCTTTCCTTAATCCTTTATTTAGAATTATATATATATATATATATATATATATATATATATGTGTGTGTGTGTGTGTGTGTGTGATACCACTTATATAATATATATCATTGTGATAGTATATATTATATAATGTATAAATAAAATAATATGTGATTATTTTATATAATATATAATGCATGTAATTATATATACATATGTGTGTATGTATGTATGTATTATGTATGTATGTATTTGGGTTTACAGTTTCAGAGGGCTGGAGTCCAGAATGGTGGAACAAAGGCATGGTGACAGAAACAGCTGAGAGCTCACATCATGATCTGTAAACAAGAGGCTATAGAAAAAGCGTTGGGATGGTGCAAGTCTTTTAAAAACTCAAAGTCCAGCCCAGTGATACACCTCCTCCAATAAGGCCATCCCTCCTAATTCTTCCCAAATAGTTCTACCAACTGAGGACCAAGCACATACATGACTAAAATCCAGGACCAAGCACATACATGACTAAAATCTAGAGCATTGTAGGAAGGGATAGACATAGTAAAAAAAAATAAATGAAAAAAAAAAAAGATTATTCGGCCTTATCTATCAATCAAAACAGAGAACCACCCTCACTACACCCCTAGTAACCTAACTTCTCCTCTTGAAGCCCAGAAGAGGAAGCCCCAAACAGTAGTGGAACCCTTGAGCACTTTCTTACTCAGGTGGTCTGTTGCTCTTAGACATAGTCTGATCTTTTCTATTGATTTGCCTTGCTACTTTGCAACCTGTGTATACTTTTGTTTGAATTCCTTGATTCAGAGATTAAGACCTCAAAACACTCAGCCCAGACCCTGACTATGAATGAGTAACATGATGAATTAGAGCTCCTGGAGGTGACTGGAGCCTGAGAACAGAGCTAAGTCATCTGTTGATAGGGTGAGGCTGGATCACGAGACTGGGCAGTCTCCTCAAAGCATCTCAAAACAGAGAAGGCCTAGGCTGGAAAGATTGCTCCATAGGTAAGAGTACTTTTTTTTCTCACAGAGGACCTGGGTTCAGTTGCCAGCACCCACATAGTAACCTGCATCTATAACTCTAGTCACAAGGGATCTGACTTTCAAGGGTACTGGGTACATGGTACAGACACACATGCAAACAAAACACTCATACACATAAAATAATAAAATGAGTAGAGCTTAAAAGAGGTTTTTTTCTTTGTCTTTTGTTTTTGTTTTTGTTTTTAACAGAGAAGACTGTCTGGAAGAAGGAGAGGCATTTAGCAAGGGACAGCAAGGCAGGAAAGGAGGAAGGGTGGACCTGAGGAGGTCAAAAGAAGTGAATCAACAGCTTCGGGAATGCTGGACAGTGACGGTGTCTAAGAACCTCAAATGTGTCACACTGGAAAGCCAGATTTGGTCACAGGTCCCTGAAGGGAAGATGGGAACTGGCAGGATTCAGCCAAGAGAAAAACTCTAAGCCCTGACTGAGGACAGCAGAGCTGAAAATGTGATGCACACACAGGAGCTGGTGCGGTGATCACGACACCTTTGCCTCCTCAGACCAAGCCCTGAGCTTCCTTCCCACTTGAGCTGTGGGAAGAGACGTGGGAAAGGTGTCATCAGGAGGAAAGACAGCAAGTGAAATGCAGGAGAGAATGGGAAAAGTCAGCCACAGAAGAAAAGCAACCCCATGGCGGAGTTTCGCTTCAGTCAAGCTCAGCCCATTCACTGCACCTGCTACAAAACCAAAACCAAACGCAGCACAAATTCTTCCCAGCCTTTCCCTTCTGAGATGAAAATAGAATGGAGAGTAATGTTGACTTTTTTCTCTTCTGAAGGCGGTTTTCCTCCTCGTGTGGGTTTTGTAGATCCTCAGTGAGCTCTCATCTGCAAATGGAACAGGATCACCCAAAGCGGCCAAACAGATACGAACTTCCACCTCCTTTTACGTAACATGTGAAGCAGCTGTGGCGAATCAGTGGCTCAATTACATCATGAGTGTCAGAGTCTGAGATCTCGTTGGCTAGCCTCCTCAGTCCTAAAATAGCTGCGGAAGCCTTGCTAACACATGCTCATTTAACAATATCCAGAGATATGAATACAAAAATATGATTTCAGCCAGGCGGTGGTGGCACATGCCTTTAATCCCAGCACTTGGGAGGCAGAGGCAGGCAGATCTCCGTGAGTTTGAGGCCAGCCTGGTCTAGAAAGGGAGTTCCAGGAAAGACACAAAGCTACACAGAGAAACCCTGTTTCAAAAAACCATATATATATATATATGATTTCCTTTACTCTTCTACATCAAAAAAAAAAATCACATCCAGCCAACTTCCCTTAGGTGCAGTTGATCAGTTACACTTATGCATGTGTGTTTGCCCACAGCGGTCAGAGAGGGTGTTGGTTCCCCTAGAACTGGAGCTACGGATGGCTGTGAGCCACTGTGTCAATGCTGAGAACCAAACCCAGGCCTTCTGCAAGATCAGCAAGTGCTCTTAACCACCGAGCCATCCCTGCAGCCCTGACTGACTCACATTCTTTAGCCACTCACTGGAAAGGAGTGTTCATCACTAGCAACAAGAACAGACTGAGGCTCACTCGGCACATGAGTAAAGTGTGCTCCCCTCAAGGGAGAGGGGACGGCAGCTGCAGATGAGCAACCAGCAGGTCATAACAAGTGAAGAAGAGTCTTCGTCCTTCCAAATCCAGAGAGATGCTGCCTTGAGAGGAGAGAGAGGTGGCTCAGCATTTGAGAGATGCTGCCTCAGATGAGGTTTCTGGAAGCAGTGTTGGAACTCTGACTACAACCTGAGCACCCTCCGGGTAAGGAAGTGGGTGAGGGTGGGCAGAGCAGGCAAAGGCAAGGAGATGGCAGTGTCCACTGGACCCTCCCTTCAGCCTGACTCAACAGAGTGTTGGTCCATGAGTCATATCGTGGAATTGACTCCAACCTTGAGGCAAGGGGCTGAAGTTTTGTATCCCATTTTTGTCTGTCCTTATCTGTGACTTGCTGAAACAAATACAAACTCCAAAACAACGTGACTCCCTGCCAGCACTCCAGCACGTGTGTGTGTGTGTGTGTGTGTGTGTGTGTGTGTGTGTGTGTGCAGGGCCCAGGCACAGGGTCTGGGCAGGACATTCAAGGGCCTACCCTAGATTGTTCCTAGAGATGGACCTGAGGAAACCCGCAGCAGGCCTCTGGATCAACCTCTGGATCACATGAGAAGACCATGCCATGTAGGGGGCCATTCTGGTCTCTCCACAGCAGGACAGTGACAGAACTTGTGGTCCTGCCAGGCCACTGTGGCATACTTGTTTGTTTCTACAGGAGCCCAGTACCTCCTAGTATGTCCCAAGGTCCAATGTATAGCTTTCTAAGGAACCACAGAATTCCAGGCCCTACTTCTGAAGTTTTCACAGACACAGAGACCAAGCTAAAACAGGCATGTGTATTCACACCTGCAATACTGTAACAGGAAAATATTAAACAATTCTGCCACTTTCAAGTCGAATTCTAAATCTCCTCCAGGAGGAAGAGGGTCTAGCTGCCTTGACTCCTCTTTTCACAGGAAATTGGAAAGACAATGGACAAGTCTATCTCCCAAATCACCTATCATAAAATTGAGGATCGAATTACAACATACAGATTAATTCCCTCTTGAAATAGAGCCTGAGCTCGAAAGCAAGGAGAGGGAAGGCCTGAACAAATCAGTTTTGGCAGAAGTTAAAACATTTTCTAAGCAAACTAGCTGTTCTCTCTGCCATTAGCAACAGGAAGCAGAAAGACTTACGCCTCCCAACTGTGGCTCTCAGAGAAGTCACTACTTCTGATAAGCATGCATTTGAGGCAACACTATGCATTCGTGTACATGCGCACACTTACATTTTCTCTTTCTGCATTTTGTCTTACTCCCTTTATGTGTTGGAAGCTCCACTGGGGGAAGAGTTGACTGGGGCTCACTCTGTCCTCTTCTCTCCATTTCCATGCCTTGCATACAGAAAACGCCCCACCAATATTTATGGAATTTATGAGTAAATAAAATCAGCAGAACTTTATGATCTGCTACCACCATCATCAATGGTAGAGTTTATTGCTTACCCAACTATGAAAACACTGGAACAAGCCTTCTTAACACTTTCACACCTTAGGGAGAAATGACTTGCCAAAAACAAGCTCAACTGCGAAGCCTTCAGAAGCAGGAGCCATTACCAAGCGCATTTCAATAGCACCGAGTACTTCTGAGGCTGGAGAAATCTACTGTGTAAGGGTGCCCTCTGCTGGAAGCAGTCATTTCCACTAAGCAAGCAAAGAGCAGACTTGACATTACTCACCAAAGCAACGTTTGCAAGCTTAACTCAGGAGGCTTACAAATTCTGAGAATCCCATTGCCCTCACATTAGGTAAAATCAACTCAAACTGAAGTTCAAGGGGAAATACATCTTGACAGAGAAGCTTGGGAATGAAAGTGTTCAAGCTCCGGCACTGAGAACACTTTCACAGGTGTCCAAATTTATCCCGTTTGGGACGCCTTTAAAGAAAGGCACCTCAATTTGGAGAAGTAGATTCAAGATGGCAGCTGCCAGCACCCTGTAGGCCTAGGGGCCTCGGGGCCATTCCAAGGAGTCTGAGAGACCCACGGGGGCTTTGTGGGGAGATACGGTGGCCAAGGATGATTTTTTTTTAAAGTCTTATGGAAAGATGCTTTTAAAAAGTGTTTTTATGAAATTGAAGGGGGAAAAAAGATGGCAGAACGGAGTTGAGCTGCTGCGGCATGACCGTGGGGTCAAAGAAACATGTTGTTACAAATGGAGCCGGTGCTGGACCACCACAGGCCTGCCTTGCTGCTGGCCTGATGCTCGCCCTGCATGGGAGAGGAGAGCACAGGGCCCATGTGATGTTCTGGTTGTGCCTGGGGTGCCGGCAGGGCAGCCGACGCCAAGGGCAGGGTGGTGT